CCCGAAAAAATCTAATCAGGGGAACATTGTTCATTATAAAGATATTTAATGGGTTAAAATCAAACGTTTTATTGCACAACTGCTCTGCTGGAAGCGTATAAATGCATGTCGTTGCCAAGTTGTTGCTAAAAAAAAAATGTGAATTATAGGGTAACACGCCCGCGCGCGATCCAAAAGCGGGGAACACAAGGTTTGTCGCGTCAAAGGGATCTGTTGCCGAGTGATCTCTATGCTTACCATTATATCTCTATGACCATGCTAGATCGCATCGCCGCTCGAGGCGCTATTTACCATGCACAGAGCTAAGAAAAATCGGAAAGAATCACGTGTGGTAAAATCATCGACGGATTTATTTTATTAATCCGAGTGTGGGAGTCATTATTTTAAGCCTGCCAAATATCGATGATCATCTTATAAAGTAATAAGATACGCAGGGAGAAAACAACAATTTAATCTTTTAATTGTTGGACAATTACGGTGAGTTCCTGCTATTGCAGGAGTCCTATGTTAGTCCTAGCTTACCTAGCCTAGGCGGGATATGACTTCTTCGGCCGCCGACATCTTCGGCTGTGGGAGATTTATATGGAGCGCCAGTTGGGCATTTCCCCACACCGCATGCTGTGGTGGCGTATGCCTAACTTTAAGCGTTTGCTAAACTAAATAATTGCTGTCATGTCGCACAGTAATATTTACGTATTTATTTTAGGTATTGTATGTATATAATAATTGCTTTCATGTACAGTATTATTTACTTATTTATTTCAGGTATGTGGATTTATTTTTAAGTGTCTTAACATTGAAGAATTGTAAAGCTTCAGTATTTTATTTGTTTTTCAGAACAGTATTGTTATTCATTATACAATTTGAAACTGTAGGCCTATTCATTGTACAGTAATTCATATTTCCAGTATAAGTATAAGCTCCAGTATTTTATTTATTAATAGACTACAAAACGCATTTTTTACTGTATTTTTATTCATATTTCGTCAGTTTCCTTTATCCACAAAATAGAATTTCGTCAAATAAAATTTAGAATGATACACATGCACAAACAACGTGTGTTATTTACGAGTGGGAAAAAGAAATCTAGAGTAAATTTGTCAATCATTAGTCAATAAAAATTCTTTAGGAATATCTCTCTATTCTCATGCCCTTAATGTACATACACTTTATATCATTAAAGCCAATCAATTAATTTACTCAATCAAATATTTAATTTATTGGTGATTTAAAATTCAGGTCTTTATATTTACATTACTGAATAGTAAAAAAGTGCACATGTAAAAAATGAGATCTATAATCGATAACAAGCAATAATGTTTACCTTTAACAATTATTATCGTCAAAATTTTTAAAAATCTTGCAAATATGTTGCTTGTGTTAACCATGGTGTAAGTGGCAGCGCAAAGTTTGCCATGTTTAATTCCTTACAATTTTTTTCACAAATTATATAATTTTATCACTGAAATCTTAACACACTGTTAATATTAATTGTTGCGACATATTCTGTGTGTATAGGCCTATCTGTAACAATGTAAGCTTGAGTGTTTCTGAACTTGAGGTTAAAAATTGAATAGATATAATAGCGCTCATTCAACCACTGTATATCAGCGTGACAAACAATAGCACGCATTCAACTTCCAATCGGCAAAGCACTCAAAGGGCGCTCCATACATTTTGGTGTTCGACAGGGCGCGGCCGAAGTTGGCCTAAAGCGCCTAGGCTAGGGCAGGGCAGCCTCCTAGAGTAGGGAAGTGATGCCGTATCGGGTAGCTAACTAGGCTAAGCCTACTTTTTTGCTAGGCTAGACTTAGCCTATTACAGGCGTGTGTAGGCATAGGCCTCAGCTGCAGTATTGCTATGTTATTGGTAAGGATAGGGTTAGGGTGGAGTACTAAAGTGCATTAGCGCCTAGGTTTATTCCTAAGAAATCAGAAGAAGAAAGCCACCCCTGTCAAAAGGGTAGCCGATCATTTCGGTCGCGCTTTGTTTTGGTCGCGCCATATTTCGGTCGCGGTTTAATTTCGAACAAATATATGGAGCGCTGAAAGAGTTGCGAAAACGCAAAATTTAATATACCTAGGCCCTATAATAATTAGTTCGTCAATCAGTTTATCATAGGCCTAAGTATTTTTTTTTTCGTTTTGCTATCTTTCTACTAACAACATTTTATCTTTCTACTACTGTTAACATAATTCTCTTTCTTCCATTTACGGTGATATATTCATGATTGAAACATAATCTTATGATTGAAACAATGGAATTTAGTATGTGCTATTCTTTTTGTTGCGTTTTCATATAGGGCCTACTTTACTTTAATAATTTGGTCAATAAAATGTATCTTTAATTTTAATTGAATTGAATGTTGTTACCATCTGAAATCTATTTCATAATTTAGTTAAAACAATAATCATTACAATAGTTAATCCGATCTTTTTATACATTAAATTTTTTTTTTTTTTTGCAGCTTCTAGAGTTTGGATAAAACATTTCGTACCAAAAGAATTGAGGGAAACACAATTAAAGAAATAAACGAATAATACACACATTATCATTCTTCACTTGAAATCTTTAATTTTCCTTGATGCCCCTGCCCAGTTCATAAATGTGAATATATATATTTTATATATGATTTTATATAAGCATATAGGATACAGTACAGTATACCTAAAAACTATATATCTGTCTCTTATACACATCTAGATGTGTATAAGAGACAATATATAATATTAAATATAATTTATAAATATTTATTTACATTATTTTATAAATAATATCATATCAAAAAACAATACCAAATTTTTAGTACTGTACTGTATTCATTTTATTTGCTGTATTCGTATGTAGTAGGAAGCGTAGGATCTATAACAAAACGAAAATAAAAACTGTCCGATAAAGGAGTTAACATTGTACTGGGAATGCAGCAAACTAGAAAATAACCATTAAATACCATAATATTAATTGAAATTTAGTTTAGTAATAATAGTATTCATCTTATTTGCTTTTAAGTAGCCTATGTTGTTGAAAGACAAACAAAACAAATAAAAAACAGTATGATAAACCGATTGACGAACTTACAATGATAATTACTGTAGGTCTAGTTATATTAAATTTGGCGTTTTCGCAACTCCATATATTTGTTGAAAACAAATCGCGACCGAAATGAAGCGCGACCGAAATGATCTGTATTCGTTAAAAGCCACCCAACAGTTGATCATACAGTACCAACCATTTGTAAGGTGGTGGGGTGCACAATGGGTGGGATATTTGTCTTGATGCTGGTCTACACATGGAGTTATAATTATTTATAACTCCATGGTCTACAGAAGGTTTCTGCTGTGCTTTGAGTTCTTTGTAATTTGTATCAGACCTATTTTATTCTTTTGTGTATTATGAATTAGAAACTGGGTGGAGCCTACGTAGGCATAAACATTTAGTTAGTACGTCTCCAAATGCAAAACATCTTAAGACGGTTCCATATTAGAAAGTCCGAAAAACTAGCAGGACTGTGGCCTAGACTTTCCATCAGTATTATTACAAATAGAGGTATACTGTAGGTACGTGACAAAAAAATTGCAAATTCAAGCAATTCCTTTGCAAATTGAATGTTTTTGACAACTCAAACTTACGGCAATAAATTAACTCACTTCCCGAAGTCGGAAAAGACTGATTTGATGACTAGGTGAAAGAGGAACATGTGAACTACGTCATCACTATTTTCCGCTTACAGGAAAAAATTAAATACGACCTCTGCAGTGAAAACAATAGTGGGCTGTTGCAAAAGTCGAGTCACTGGCAAAAATGATAGCGGTGCCACGATATCACGCTCGCAATTGCTAATAATCACGTATCTATATACTGTAGTAGGCCTAGGCCTAGCTAGCCCTTGGCCTAGCTAGGCCTAGGCTAGTATATGATATATTTTAATTGTGCGTGTATACTTCAATATCTTTCGGCGGAAGTACTGTATAATAATACAGATTGAAATACCCAATCAATAAATAAATAAATTGCTATTAGTAAGTGGGGGTGAGATTTCACACACGAATGAATTAATAATTATAATAATAATAGATGGATTTATACAGCGCAAATAAACGAGGTCTCTATGCGCTAGACAATATTGTAGTCAAGAAAACAAAGAAAAAAGCCAGAAAAAAAAGCAATAAACACCAAGCTAGCACCATTACCGCCAACCAGGGATCTGTGTTTATGACCTCCAGTTAGCATCGGTTAAGTCTTGATCAGGTGCCTCCTAACCTGGACCAAACAACACTAGCTAGCGAGGTGAAACAGAGAATTTGAAAAAAAAAAAAAAAAAATAGTTATACAGAGGCAAATAGAAAAGTTTTGAGTCGCTTCTTGAAGATGTCAATTGACGCAGATTCACGGACTACGATTTGATTGGGTGCTTTTGTTGGGTGATGCATTTGTTACTGATCGCAATGCTAATCTGCTGAACATGCCTAATAGGCCTGCTAAGTAAAATGTTACTTACAAATCGTGAGATCACACTTCCTTGGTTTTGGTCACTCGTACAACAGTGGGCTTGCACTGCCTTGTCGGGGCGTTGAGTTTAAAAAATATCCATTTTTGATTGGATATTGATGATGTCATTCATTAATATGCAGATTAAACGTCAAGTAAAAGGTCACATTTGTTTTGTTTTCATGCATCTTTTATTTATACTGTAGCTGACATCTGAAATTCTCGAATAAAGTCTCCTTTTTTAGCAGTATGGTAAGTTGAACTGTCTAAAGTTTATAACCTAATGTTAGATAAGTAATTTATATTTTGACCAAATATTAAGGAATTTTAACAACTGCCATTGTAGCCAAGTCTACTATACATACATTTATTATCGCTGGGTAATGGCGTCTGATGATCGTCTATATACCATAATTCTTGATAGAACCGTGATAGAACTTTCCAGCCACTAGAACAACAAATAATACCATTTGTCACTTTTTGTGGCTACATAATTTTATGGAATTTGTTATAACAAATATGAATTTTGGGTGTCTTTTGATCAACACTAAACATTCTGATGAATGTCTAGAATGACGTCATTGTCCTGTTGCTTCATAACTTTATGTTTTTACAGTTAAGTTCTTTACATTTTCTAGAATACTACTGTACTGTTTTGCAATTGACTCATCTGGCAAAAATAAGACTTTGTGAATTAAGATATTGTCATTTTGGTAGGTATAGATTTTGTTTCCAGTATTTTTAAAATAAATTAAAAAATTATTTTAATAATGCATTTCATCATCACAATATCAATATTATTTTTATACTGTTATTGTTATTATAATTATGATTATTATTATTATTATTATTTTATAATTATTGTTTCTGTTGTTATTGTTATTTTATTATTATATTTATTATTGTTTTTATTATTTTATAATTATTGTTTTTGTTGTTATTGTTATTTTATTATTATTGTATTTATTATTTGTTATAAATTATTTATTATTATAATTATTATATTATTATTATTATAATTTTGTTGTTATTGTTGTTTTATTATTATATTTATTATTGTTTTTGTTATTTTATAATTATTGTATTTATTATTTGTTATTAATTATTTATTATTATAATTATCATATTATTATTATTATTATAATTACTGGGCCTGTTTCTGCTGAAGAATGCCAAAAAAAAAAGTTTAAAAAAAAACGGTTCAAATAACTGTTTATAAACAAAAACTAGGTTGTAACCAATTTTCGACTACAAGAAAAACGGTTTTTAAATGTGTTGTCGTTGTTGTGATGACATCATTTTATCCCAGAATGCCGCCTTCCATCACGTACAGTAGGGAGGATCGTGCATGTCACGATCCCCCAGAATATTATCTAACACGTCATAATATGGACAAGTTATTCTGTCTCTACCAGACCTACTATTATGGTCCTTAGCCAATGTGTAGGCCCGTTGCAACCGCTTCAATTTATTGGTGACTTGCACTGATGTCAGTTTAACTCCGAATTCTTCTTGTACTTTCTTTACGATGTTCTTGTATATGTGGGTATCTCTTTTGCTGTCCTTTAGCCTGCCTCCCACCTTTTCCTCTCCCCACAAAGTTATCACAAATTTGGTAATTTCTTTGTTCCACATAATTTTCTTCAGTATGTTTTACTTCGCACGAATCTCTGCAAGTTGTGTCGGTTGTGGTTCGTGCTTCAACATTTCACACAGCGAGGTCAAATCGCGACTGCTATTTAGTTGCAGCTGAAAACCCATAAAAAACATTTTTTTTTTCATTCGCACACGGAATGAATTGCGTGTTTTCGAACTGTTTTTTTCGATCAGAAAAAAACGTTTTTTTGTCAGTGGTACCACTTCTACAGGCAGAAAAAAAAACGTTTTTATTAAAAACCGTTTTAAAAAACGTTTTTTCTTGCAAGCAGAAACAGGCCCACTGTTGTTGTTATTGTTATTTTAAGCTGAGATAAGCTTTATTGGTCTATTCACATATAAAAATATATAAACAGAAATGTTTCTTGAATCTGTCATAAACACGTCAACACCAAGAAACATCAAATTACAAAAGCAAAGAAGTTGTAACGCATCTACTCATTACATAATTATAAATATCATATATAAAAATATTTTAAATATTAAATATTAATTAAAATTAAAGTAATTACAAAAAATTAATTTACAACAAATTTAATTAAATATTAATTAAAATTATAATTATTTTACAAAAAATTTTATTTACAATAATTTGAAAAGAATTCAATATCAAAAATATCAATTGCAGTTCAAATATATATAAAAAATATAAAAATTGCACAAGAATACAAAACTCTAACAATTATTATTATTATTATTATATATGTTATTTATTATTAATTATTATTAATTACAGGTATATATGTTATTTATTATTAATTATTTATTATTATTATTATTATTGTTATTTATTATTACTATTATTATTATTTTTATTATTATTTCTAATTTATTTTTATGATTTTTTTCTTATTTTCGCAGATATTCTTATAATGCCGGGGAAGAAGAAGTGCAAGTTTATGCATTCAGTACCACCAGGCAAATTACGTCTCTTGCTCGAAGAACGGTATAAAGAGATCCCTGTAGATGCTGAAGACTTGCTAAATGGTCATGTGGTCTTAAGGTTCTTGCAGGAGTCAAAATGTTATGCATCAACCAGAAGGTTTTTTGATGACCACATGGGCTTGAAGATTGCATTGCATAAAATTCATGTACTTGTAAATCGAACAATAAAGAAGTACAAGCATATAAGCAGAGAGAAGGAAGTTTCAAAGTTAGTCGCTGTATGCGATGAGAAGTAAAGACACGAGAAAGAAAAACAAGAACAGGACACGTCAGCAGAGCTGTCAGTTAGCCGAGAGTTGACGGAAACAACTCCACATATTGTAACACCATCTACGTCTGTATTTGGTTCATCTAGCACAGTACAAACTGAATCAACTTCTACTATTGCAGTTACAACACTATCTTCACCTTTGTCTGTTACAATGAGATGACTGAAGCGAAGAGGAGTGCTGACTCCAGTTATCCTACAACTTCAACATCCAAAATGACACTTTGAGAGAGCGATATAGTTGCCTTCAAAAGAAGTATACGGAATTGAAGGCGAAGAATTCAAAAAGAAGGAAAGCATCTGTGAATAGGACCGATGCTGCTCTGCAGCCATTTTGGTAAAATATTACACTATTTTGTATAATGATGTAAATAGAATCAAAGAACAGAACCTAAACTTATTCCTTAAATAAATAGAGCTCGAAATATATTTTTTTGAATTTCTTACTCACACTATGACCATATACTGTATAGGCACATCATGACTATATATGGGCATACAACAGATGAATGGCCTGGAGGAACACATTTTTTTACATTGGACATTTTCAGTGGGTGGGTGGTGCCTAGGGTGCAAGCTATTTATAGCGGTAGGGCTTACACCCTGAGCACCCCATAGATACACACGGTAGCTAAAAGCTGAGGCTTAACTTGTATATTACAAATTTGTCACAATACATTTAAAATATATTATTGACCAGGTGCATGACTACAAATGATGTGGGCTGAAGTCCAACACATCGTCTTGCATTTGAGAAAGCTTTTGGAAAACTGAAATAATGGTGCTTAGATTAATTGTTAAGCCGGTTTGAACACCATGCATGAAACACAGTTTTGTTGGTGTAAAAGAGCAGATGAACCAAATGCATTCTCAATATGTCATCCAGCGTCTGTAAAAAAAATTATTGAAATATTATTAAAAAAACTAAAAATTTATGATTATTTAGTGATTCGGATTAGTGAAAAATGTCAACAAGAATTGTATAATGCTTGCAACCAAATTTTAGCAAAAATAAATACTTACAAAATTCAACCGACTAAATTTGTTTTTTTAAACCTTTTCCATGTCGTTATATCCATCAAAATGGTAGACGTCCAGTCAGTTTAATATTTTTTTTATACATACAGTACTATCCTAGACCTGCCCCAGGCCTATTCAGATTCCATCCCTACAGATTGTAAACAGTGTCAATTTACTAATTATACGTCATTATCATATGTAGAAGCGGTTGGTGCATCGATTATGGCTTGGACTCCAAACCTTGAGGTCAGGGGTTCTAAAAAACTATTGCTTTGCAAGTCGCTTGTGTCCTTGGGCAAAGCACTTTATCTACGTTTGTCTCTCTCTACCCAGGAGTATAAATGGGTACCTGGTAGGATTTTGTGGCATTGAATGTTCTAGTTTCGTGCGCTAAAGAAGTAGCGAACGACTAGGGATACTCCCCAGGGAGCAGAGAAGGTTACAGTACTCGGTTTGCCATTGTACGTTATCCAGTGACTAGGGGTAATAACGCTCGCGCCTTTGATCATATTCAATTTGGAATTGGCGCCTTATACAGTAAATGTTTGGGTATTATAATGGTTTTTTTTTTTTTTTTACATAATAAGGCTCTAAAATATATTGTTTATTAAATAATTATGTCTGAAATTTCTGGATCTGTAGCAAAATTAATATAATTATTATACCGTATAGCCAGACCCTTAAAAAAAAGGCCTTTGATGGGCTATATCGTCTGCGCAAAAAGTAGACCTCGAAATCCATCTGCACATTTCAGGGGTCCCAAGTCGCTGTAACAGTTCATTCAAATCACACTCATTTTTAATCTGCTTATAATCAGATAATCAGCTCTCTTCATAATGTATATATGCAATAGGTTTTGTTTTTTGTTGGCAAGTAGCCAATTATTACCTAACAAATGTGGTTATGTATCCACCCTGTCTGGCTGTTAGCAAGATTATGCAAAAAAATATTAAGAAATGGATCATCATAAAACTTAGCGAAATAGTACATAGTAATCTAAGAAAGAGATGATTTACTTTTGGAAAGGAAATGTCAAAGGGCAAGGTCATGGAAATTTGATTTGTTTTGTTCCATGAACTTACCCTGACGCATAAAATAAAATAATGGAATCGCCAGTACAAGACCTGTGTATTGTTCACTATCCAAACACAGGGCAGAGGTATGCACACTCTATGGAGTGTCAGCACTAATTATAAATATTAGTATTCCCTTATATTTTTTTTCCAAGTTTTGATTGTTATTATTATTATTCTTTTTACTTTATTATTTTTTATTTATTAGTTGGTTTTTGAACAAAAAAAAAAATTGTGGAATAAAGATTGATTGATTAGCATTAACTTTTTTTTTGTAGTTTCAGTTCTTTCTCGGTGGAAAAAGTAATGCCATACAACAAAGAGATGTCAGACACACGCTGGCCAAAAGATGTAGGAATCATTGCAATGGAAGTGTACTTCCCCTCGCAGTACGTAGACCAAGAGGATCTAGAAATTTGTGATGGTGTGTCTAAAGGGAAATACACGATCGGGCTAGGCCAGGCCAAGATGGGTTTTTGTACCGACAGAGAAGACATTAATTCCCTTTGTCTAACTGTTGTCCAGCGTCTGATGGAGAGAAATCAGTTGTCGTATGACTCTATAGGCAGGCTAGAAGTCGGCACAGAGACAATTATTGATAAGTCGAAAAGTGTAAAAACTGTTTTAATGCAATTGTTTCAAGATTCAGGTAACACTAGCATTGAAGGAGTGGACACAGTGAACGCATGTTTTGGTGGTACATCTGCCCTCTTTAATGCAGTCAATTGGATTGAATCCAGTTCATGGGATGGTTAGTATGATATATTCCTATAATTCTATATTTGATACAGGACTTATAAAAACCTTAAAGGCCTGTTTACACTATGACGATAACGATCAACGATAAGAAGCTAAAAAGCAGTTGTTAGTATAGAAAATAAAAGAAAGAAAGAAAGAGAGGTTTTCACACTAGCACGATTCGATAATGATTTATCGTGTATGCGATAACAAAATATTTTCACGTATTAAATCAAATGACGTCATAATCATAGGAAAATGATATACATGTAAAATTGTCTTTACTATGAAGGGTCAACCTCTATAATTATGTTGTTAACGTTAAAAAATAAAATAGGCGAGTCGAATGGCTGAGCAGTTAGCAGGGGCGCCGCAACCTACAGGCGTATCAGTGTGCCATTCTGGTTTGAACGGCACACTCGCCTATGGTTCTGGTAGTAGAACAAGTATTTTCAGATAAGGACTATATAAACCATAGGCCCAGTGTACTCTTTGGCTGGTGTGCACTATAAAGTACCCAGTTCATCATTTGAGACGAGTACGGGGATACCCCGGTGTTCTGGTACTAACGACCCCTGTTGTGGACAACGAGAGTTGCACCAGGTGACCAGGTAGCAAGACACGAAGGGACCTGCTTGTCCACATATACTAGTCCATTGGCTAAAAGCATTTTATCTGGTTATCACGGTATCAGTACTGTATTATTAATTATTTTCCTCTAAATCCCATCAATTTGTTGTGGCGTGTTGTCTTGTAGGTCGGTATGCAGTGGTGGTTACTGGGGACATAGCTGTATATGCCAAAGGAAATGCAAGACCCACAGGCGGTGGAGGCGCTCTAGCTATGCTACTCGGTCCAAATGCACCGCTTGTTTTTGAAAGAGGTGAGGGAATTTTGTAATCTCGTGTGGTTATATTATTAAAACTAGCATATACCGTGCCGCACGGTGTTTTAAATGAGTAAGGATACATAACATGTATATAGTTAAATGTTATGTGAAGTTAGGAAGGAAATCATTATGGACGTTAGGGTTACCTTGTCATTGTTTTTCTAAAGGTCCTCTTTGCAGATAATATTTTGAATGTCTGCTGAATAATACTTGTGAGGTATTATTGTCCACTTTGACAGATAGAGGCCTACATTGGAGTAACCTCTTGTATAATAATAATAATATCATATATAATATGGAGTTGTTCCTTTGTCATCAGTGATAAGTTCCATAATAAGTGCTATAGAATGAAAATCAATTATTTTCAAAAATGTTCAATAAAATCTGAAAAAAGTTACACAGTAGAATACATAGAGTTCAAAATATATATCATGAAAAATCAAGTAAATCATTATATAGATATGTAAATTACGTAAGTCATCAATGAAATCTTTGGCCGAAAGTAGACCATTTTAAATATCAACAGGTCAGTTGCTGATTAGTGAATTTTATGTCGACAATATTTCAAAGTTAAAAATATTGTTGATACTATTGTTTTTTTTTTCAGGTTTACGTGCTATCCATATGCAACATGCTTACGACTTCTTCAAACCAAATTTATCATCTGAATATCCGGTTGTAGATGGAAAGCTCTCCGTGCAATGTTATCTTGACGCTCTAGACAAATGCTACAAGCGTTATTGCGATAAAGTACTTAGAAGTAAGTTAACAGAATTGTCTGGGATCGAATCTCAGGTTGGTCATTAGTGTTTTTGGGCGATGCCTCTTTATCCACTTTTTCTCTCTCTTCCAAGGAGGGGGTACCTGATCTTAGGTACAATTGTCGATTATTTGCTGCAACGTTATAGATAATACACCCCAGGTATATGTTACATAGTATCTAGTGGCTAATGTAATGATGTGAAGCACAGGCAGATAATAGTGCATACATACTGTGTTCTATAAAACTAACATATTATTAACATTGTTGTTATAAACAAAATTATATTATTTTAACTATCAATATATTTTAATCATGGCAAGTCAATCCAGTGACTATCTCAGATTTTGCTGAAAATTTAAAATATTTTTAAAAATTTTGAAATAAGTTTTTATTGAATGTAATGATGTGAAGCACAGGCAGGTAATAGTGAATACTGTGTTCTATAAAACTAAAATATTATTAACATCAATAACATCAATATATTTTAATCATGGCAAGTCAAACAGGTGACTATCTCAGATTTTGCTGAAAATTTAACTAAAATATTTTTAAAATTTCTGAAATAAGCTTTATTAATATTTATTAAGGGTTGTAATGCTACATTTTGTGCCATTTCCCTGCACAAAAAGAAAAAAAAAATCGCTATGATGATTTTTGAAAACAAACTAAAGGCCATAATTCCATTTTTAAGCATAATAGAACAATTTTAGCCTGCATTGAATTAAATTGTTTTTTTTTCTTCATCCTCTCTTCAGATGGTTTGGAAGATGTTGTTTCATTAGAACACTTTGATTATATATGTTTCCACACTCCATTTTGCAAACTGGTCCAAAAGTCTGTAGGAAGATTGATGTTGAATGACTTTTTACAAGAGTCGAATCCAGACACTGATGAGGGTTGTCGATATGCTGGCCTCGATGCATTCAGGTATTTTTACCATTGCACAGGGTTCTGTAAATTCCCAATAAACATGTGACAATGAATATTCCACAAGAATATCAGTGGCTGGCAGATCCAGGAATTCGAAATAGAGGGAGACCAAGGAGGGACTTCCACAAATGGACAGTCTATACCACCTCAGCCCCACCATGGCACCATAATTAAGAAAAATTATGATTATGGGTCATCTATGTCACATATATCACTCTTGAATTTTCTTTATACCAATATTTAGCATGTACATATTATTTGGCCTATTTTGGGCCTATTTTAGCACAGTTGGTTAAAATTTATTATAAGCAACCTGTGTATTCATTAAACCACATGTTCACTGGTCCTTTTCCATTATGCTCTTTCTTTGGAATATAGGAAATGGCACACGGAGCTTTGTTTTAGCTGCCCAAATTTCTGACTGTTGGTCATTTATTGTGTGACATCCAATCATTGAAGTGGAGACCTGGATGTTTTTTTTTTACTTTTAAAAATTGACATAGCATGATCAGATGATACTACCATATATTTAGTGCCTCCCTATTTTGCACACATCTGCTGTATAGTGTTTGCTGCCACCAACTCTTCTCAGTTTCTCCAAGATGGACATTTTCCAATTTGTGATTTTTTTTTTTTTTTTTAGAGGTATAAAGCTTGAGGATACATTCCATAATAAGGAAGTTGAGAAGGCCTGTGTCAAGTGCAGTAAAGAGCAATTTGAGAAGAAAACCAAACCATCACTACTTCTAGCAAATAACGTAGGAAATATGTACACACCTTCACTGTATGGTGGGTTAGCATCGGTCATAGCAAGGTAACTAATTGTTCACACACAAATTATATACAGTGGCGTATCTAGGTAGGGCGTGGAGCCCATTCCCTCCCTCTTCCTAAAAAAAAATAAAGCTTTCCCTCTTTCCCCAAAGAAAATGTCCAAATCAAAAATTATCAACCTGAAGTAGTTAAAAACCAACTTATTCTGCGACCTAGCACCCCTAACTTAATCATCGAGCCCCCCCCCCATTCCAAGACTCCTAAGCATGCCACTGATTATATGGTGGTCTGATCAATGGATCAGGACTAGTGGTATAGCTTGGTGGTTGGTTGCCTGCCCTCCATTCCCAAGATCCTGGGTTCAAAGCTTGTAAAAAGGCAAGATGTATTTTTCTCAACATCTCCGCCTTATATGGTCCCAAGATATTGTGGTGTAAAAAAAAATACAATGGTGATAATGAGGACAATAGCAATGATGATAACTATAATTATGATTGCAGCAGCAATGAAGATGCCTGAAGTTGTTAAATAGCAATGACAAAAACAAAGATTTTTTTTTTAATTTTAATTTTTTTTTTAAATTCTTACAGCATCTTTCCGATTCTTCCTTTAAATTGATTATGGAAAACTTAGATCTTCTGATTTTGCATTTCTGGCTAATAAAATTCTCTTTTGGAAACCAAACCACTGGTTTATATACTGTAACAAACATAAAAAAAAACAATGTTTTTGCATAATAATTAACAGCTAACAAAATCACTAAAAACAAAATACTAGTTCAAATAAGTTTCATCAGGTTTCTGTGATTTATGAACATACTTTAGTATAAATTCTTGCAAGTAAAACCAATCAATATATGTACTGTTAATGGGAATGACCCACAACACCCAGAATCACCCACAACACTGGGAATCGTCAACAACTAGCAAACCAGTCATTGATGAAGATCCGTTGATACTTGATTCAACGTCATGATACGGATCGAAACATCAAAGACAGTACATATATTTATTGGTTTACTGACAAGAATTTATTTCATGTTCAAACAAAACTGTATTTCTTTTTTCAGTGCTTCATTGGCTGACCTAGTGAACAAACGAATCGGCTTGTTTTCGTATGGGTCGGGGCTAGCAGCATCCATGTTCTCACTTAGGGTTAGCTCAGATGCCTCTGTAGGCTCCAGGCTGTACAAGTTGAAAGCTAGCCTAGATGATCTCAATAAAAGGCTAGACCAAAGGAAGTGCGTTAGTGCAAAAGAGTTCACAGCGTTAATGGATCACAGGGAACGCACACACCATTTATGTAAGTCATCACATGCTGTCACAACCGGACTTTTTCTGATGACCGAAGACAACTCCACTCTCTAAGCCTCATAAAGAGAATTGGTTTATAAAGCAGTCTTCCATCCTCTATGTCGCGAGTGTACTTGCTGTTGGACTTAGATAAAATTTGACATACAGATTGTTAATTAATGGAAAACACAACAATTTTGCATTTAAAATAAGATAGACTTACAAATTATTCAAGTTAGGCAAAGTTGCCAAGTTTTACTGTATATATATATTTGTTTTATGGTGATGCTTGTAATATAACTATTCAACTTTAATTTTATACTTTTATCTTGAAGTTACATTATATTTCTTCTTATGTTTACTAAATTTCCAATATTGTAAATGTTTTGCTTTGATAATCTTAATCACACTTTTTTTATATTTATTAGCTATACTGTTTTTTTACATACATTTATCAATATCGATGTACCCTGTACTTTGTATTTTACATAAATAAATACACGTACAAACAATAAGTCTATTGTAAAAAGCATAGTTAATAGATTCAAATATTTAATGACTGTTATGTTATTGAGTGGATAGGTGTGTATAGAGTAGTTCTACATTTTTGCATAAAAAATAAGAATAACAACTTTAACTACTTCTAAATAACATTACAGGCGACTATACACCACAGGGATCTATAGAAGACCTCTTCCCCGGAACTTACTACCTAACTCAAGTGGACCATATGCACCGGAGGCAGTATCAGCGAAAGCCCCTTGTTGATTTTGAGCAGACACCATCACCTGAGTGCAACACATACCTCCTGTCCTCTCCCCCTTCTAAAGTAAGTATTTCTTTTGCATGCATTCCCATAATAAAGAAAAAAAAAAACACAACAAAAACAATAATGGTAATAGTGATGATGATGACAATGATGATGGAGACAGTGATAAAAGATGGTTGCAAGCAGGAGCTGCAATAAGAAACATCAATATCAACAAAAATAAATTTAACAATTCCAATTACTACACTGTTTACATTCATCATTACAATTTTATTTTTAATTTCTCTGCTGTTTCAGATATTTTTGAATAAACTTTGTTTGCTAAATGAAAATAAAATTGTATTTTTATTTGTTTTGCTGCCCTCTGGTGATCTAAAAAAAAATTAGTATGCAAAACAAAGTATAAAAGAGTCTTGCCTTTTTATATAGGAATTTCTTTTTTTCACTTCTTCCATTGTTAATCTTTACTAACGTGCGACATATAGCCACAAGGAATTTATCCAATCCCATTTTAGATTATTATACGTGAAAAAGAAAAGACTTATCCATCAATGTCCAGAGAAATCTAGATTTTAATTAAAGTTTATATTAAAGTAGCTGAGACTGCCTGTTGTTGTGATTAATATAATTAAAGTTATTCTTGTGTTTTTTTTCTCCAGAAGCCTGTGCGAAACCACATCAAAAACACAATGGTAAGCGTTGTCAACGAGGTAGTAAATTAACAGCAATATGCAAATTTTATCAGTGATATATCAATGGATTCCCGCTTCCCCATACTTAAATAAACATTACAGAAATATACAATTATTGAAGTGGAGTTGAATAGCTTGTCAACGAGGTAGTAAATTATGCAATATGCAAATATTGTTTAATCAGTGGTATGTTAATGAGTTTTTGGTTCCCCTCACCCTTACTGTAATACACATTACAGAAATATACTATTGTTGAAGTGGAGTTGAATTATTGGGAGTTTAAAGTTGAAAATTGCTTGGTGGTTGAGATGCTTGCCTTCCAATCCCAGGCTCCTGGGTTCAATTCCTTCATTGATCAGGATATTTTCTCACAACCAAGAACAGCTTCACTCCCTAAGTCTCATAATGAGACTGATATGAGTGTATGAAGAGCATCTTGTGTTTATGTTTGTCTTGTGGATATGCCACCTAGAAAAGTCTTTAAATCAGCGGAAATTCCCATGTATTAACCATTTTAATATATGTTGGACTGAAAATATAAATTATCATATTGTCGCCACTTATTATCTGTTATTAACAATTTTTCCATCAATTATTAGATTTTCACCTAGATTTAATACAAAGATATAATAATGTCATTTTTGATTGACAAGAGCCTCTTTTTTGCTAGAATATGTCACATATACTTGGCCTTTAGGGTAAACAATTAATATAACAAAAAATAAAAAAAATAATTATGTTGTAGCTGTTGTTGTTCAATCATTGCGAAGGGTTTGTCTCTTTCAAATCAAAGCACTAATGATTTATGTTGCTTCTTGAAGATGGCAGGAAGGGGTTATATTTATTTAATTATTCTGAACGATTCTAACATTAGCATTTTGACATAAAGCGGTTTCGTATTGAAGTGATATTCTCTAATCACACCTGGCGAGGAAATTACTGTGTACAATTAGACCGTGGCCAAACAATGAGACGATAATTCATTTCTTTCATTTGGCTTTCCATGCATTATTACTGCACATGCAATTATTTGATTATGCAACTGAATAATATTTTTTTGTTATTTCTTGATGTTATACTCTTAATAATTTTGTATATTGTGTTTTTATGTATTAATTAATTTTTTTGCAGGGTTACATATTTAAAGCATTTTTCTTGCTTATTTTGTAACCTATTCCTATATCTACTACCTTTGTATTTCTTTTGGTGATAATTGTACTTTTTGATATTGGAATAAAAATTATTGGAATTGAATTGAATTAAATAATTAAAGATGATTTGTGTTGAGACAAAAATTTAAAATCAATATTTGAATTGCTTTAATTTTTATATTTATGAATCGAAAAAAATGTAAAAGAAAAGAAGAAAAAAGGGTGACCACAGTACTTCAAAACAAGGAAATTTTAGATTTAAATTCCATTTCAATTAAATTCAAATATTTGAAATTGGTCAAAAAAGGAAATTTTGTCTTTAATCTTTGTGTACCAGTGTCTTGGGCAAGCATTTCTAAACAAAATTGCTTAACTCAAACGACGCTTGGCCGCCTACCCAGATATTTCTCTAGATCTGCTCCTGATGTTCCTATTATAGTATTATAAGTCTGTTACATAGCGAAATATAATTTGTCTCGTTAAAAAATGGTAACATAATTTGATCATTTTAATATGCAATTACATTTTTAAATTGATTTTTTAAAGGTGTTTTTTGGTTTAGCTAGACAGTATATTTTAATCTTAAAGGTTTTGCAAGTATTTATAAAAGATTTCCATATTTCTTTAATTTTGGTTGAAATATGAATTAATAAATTAAAAAAAATGTGAGATAAAATCCGAGATAACTATATAAGAAATTAATTTTTTTAAATTGTATTCTCTTCCAGTTAATTTTAATTAGATTTTTTATATAAAATATAACATGTACACAAATATCATTGGTAAAGCTGTTATACTTTACCCCAATCATGTCAGTGATGGGATTCAGAGGTGGGAGGGGGATGGTGGCATTCGCCCTGGGGCCCCTTATTTGTTCAAAACTATAAAATGGAGAAAAAAATAATTATATTAAAGTATAAGTCTGATAGTACAATTTCTGGCCATTTAGAGGTGCTGTAATCTAAGTTTTTTTACATCAGCCCCAACCATGATTGGGCTGAAGTTGTCTATACACTCTATCTATGAAGTACATCCCTGTGCCCCCTCAATTTCAAATTCCTGGATCCACCATTGCATGTGAGGAATTTTTAGACCAGAAATAACAAATGAAAGCAAGATATTTTATTGACATAATATAAAATAGGATATGGCTATTAATATTACTATTATGATGAATCAAGTGGTGCTAAAATGTAGTCATTCGATATTGAAAATATATCTTCCGTCAGATAAATTCATGGTATGTTGTTTATTTCCTCAAAATATAGTCTTCCATAGCTTAGCATGCTCAGTGTGTATTGTAACAATAAAATCTACATCCCACATAATCCACTATGCACAGTCTACATACTGTACTGCATAATATATTTAAGCATACCATACAAGATTGAAACACGAACTGACGTCAGAGGCCGTTATTGATTCGTATTTACGTATGAAAATTGTAACATCCTCAGGGAGCCTATGTTCAATTGGCCGTCATGTACTGTTCACACTAAACAATAAATCAGGAGTTGGAAAGAACCCCTTCATAGTGAATGACGTGGGTTAAAGATTAAAAAGAAGGGTGAAAATAATGAGAATGGACCATGATAAAGGAGAACGAGAATGAGTATGAAGATGATGATGGACATAATGATATTGAAAATGAATTGAGGATGAAGGAGAGGGTGGGGATTATGTGTATGATTACAGTGCAGATAAGGATTGGGATTATGGTAATGACAATGAAGATGAGATGATGGTAAAGATGCTTAGAAGGAAGATGATTTGGAGGGTGATAATGCAGATAGAGATTAGGGTTCAGATGAACATGAGGATTATGTTGAAGATGACTACTGACTTTACCACGATGATAATGCAGATAATGACTATAATGATTAGCATGACAGAGTAAACATGATTAGGATGATGGTAAGGATTATAGTGATGATGACAATGCAGATTGACATTAAGATTATTAGAATGATGACAATTATTAAAATGACTAGGATCATGAGAATGATGATAATGCAAATAAGGATTAGAATGTTGAAGAAGACGTGGGAGAACCTGAAGATGATTTGGAGGAATAAGGATGATAATGCAGATATGGTTAGGATGATGAAAATGACAATGACGACGAGGGTGACATTGAAGACGATTTCGACTACTGATGATAATGCAGATTAGAATGATGAAAATAACAGTGAAGACAATTTGGAGGAACACTGACGATAATGCTGATAAGTATTAGAATGACATTGAAGACCAGGATGATACTGAAGAGGATTTGGAGGAATACGGATTATAATGCAGATTCTCAAACAAGAAATTAGGATGAATGACGATGAAGAAGATGATATGATACCGGAGATGATAAGAAGAAAGACGAGGATTATGTATGTAGAATCATTTAGATAATCCTACATGTGAGCCAGTGAAGATGCGTGTATGTGCAGTGGCTATATAGGAGATTTGGAATAGTGAAACCTGATGAGGGCGCGAAGGTTGG